AAGTACGGCCAGCATTTTCTTTCATCAGCTTGATATAGTACAAATTCTTATCCTAATAGTGAAATGTTTCACTAAAGCTTGCCCAGTGATTGAGTAAAACCAAAACTTATTATAAGCCATAGTCATCCTAGGGTTCTCCCTGCTAGGTAGCCTCCCTGGATCTGTGGGTTGCAGTCTGATTGTTCTTTGCTTTATATCTGGTATCCACTTATGAGTGAGTACATACCATGTTTGTCCTTCTGAGTCTGTGTTACCTCACTCAGAATGATATTTTCTAGTTCCATCCATTTGCCTGCAAATTTCATGATGTCATTGTTTTTCTCTGATGAGTAGTACTCCATTGTGTGTATGTACCACATTTTCTTAATCCATTCTTCAGTTGACGGGCATCTAGATTGTTTCCAGGTTCTGGCTATTACAAATAGTGCTGCTATGAACATAGTTGAGCATGTATCTTTGTGGTATGGTTGAACATTCCTTGGATATATGCCCAAGAGTGGTATGGCTGGGTCTTGAGGTAGATCGATTCCCATTTTTTTGAGAAACTGTCATACTGATTTCCACAGTGATTGTACAAGTTTGCATTCCCACCAACAGTGGAGGAGTGTTCCCCTTGCTCCACATCCTCTCCAACATAGACTGTCATTAGTGTTTTTGATCATAGCCATTCTGACAAGTGTAAGCTGGTATCTCAGAGTGGTCTTGATTTGCATTTCTCTGATGACTAAAGATGTTGAGCATTTCCTTAAATGTCTTTCAGCCATTTGAGATTTGTCTTTTGAGAGTTCTCAGTTTAGCTCTGTAACCCATTTTTTAATTGGATTGTTCAGTATTTTGATGTCTAGTTTCTTGAGTTCTTTATATACTTTGGAGATCAGTCCTCTGTCAGATGTGGGGTTGGTGAAGATCTTTTCCCATTCTGTAGGCTGTCTTTTTGTCTTATTGACCATGTCTTTTGTCCTACAGAAGCTTCTCAGTTTCAAGAGGTCTCATTTATTAATTATTGCTTTCAGTGTCTGTGCTACTGGTGTTATATTAAGAGGTCACTGCCTCTATCAGGACAGATAGCCCAAGGGCATTGGTGGAGAGAATTCCCACTACAACCTCCTAATTTTTTTTTTTTTTTTTTTTGGTTTTTCGAGACAGGGTTTCTCTGTGTAGCTTTGCGCCTTTCCTGGATCTTGCTCTGTAGACCACACTGGCCTTGAACTCACAGAGATCCACCTGCCTCTGCCTCCTGAGTGCTGGGATTAAAGACGTGCACCACCACTGCCCGGCATAACCTCTTAATTTTTAAAAGACTTATTTTCTGTGCATTGGGTGCTGGGAACTAAACCCAGGTCCTCTGCAAGAGCAACAAGTGTTCTTGACTCCAGATCCATCTCTCCAACGCCCACAAGAGACTTTTGAACCTGGTAACTAAAAATTCAGAGTTGGTTACAGAACCTTCCCACAGTGAGTGCTCAAGAAACAAAGAACAAAATGAACAAAAACTAAAAGCAATATATTTCATTGATTGGAAAAAAGACAACTCATCAAAGACTCACTTCACTCTGGAGGAAAAGGACCCTACCCTGCATTTCTAAGTACCTCCTATGTTACAAAACTTGAGATTAAAATTTTATCTATGCATCTCTTACCTCTGACTTGTGTCAGATGCTTCTGACAACACATCCACATGGCTTTAAGAGTGAGTCATGCTCACCTTTGATCTCACTGATAAATGAGTACCCTAAGTAACTGAGTTTGAAACTCCCGACAAGCCAGGCATGGTCACCCGCACTTTTAATAACGGTACTGGGGAAGCTGAACAGGCCAAGCTCTGTGAGTTCAAGGCCAGCCTAGTCTACATAGTGAGACCCTGTCCAGCCTGGTCTACAGAGTGAGACCCTGTTTCAAAGAAACAAAACAAACAAACAAACAAAAAAAAAAAAAAAAAAAAAAAAAACCTCCTCTGACAAGGTTTCTACAAACTCTCACTTTTTGTATTTCTTCAATGCATTTAAATTTATACATTTTAAAAATTGTCTAGGACATCCTAGATAATAAAAAGGCAATCTTGGTTTTAGTAAAGCTGCTAATGTCCTTTTTGTTAATCATATCTTTGTTATGGCTGTTGCTCACTCAGACCTTTTCCTGAGCCAAGTCTTCATGTTTAAAAGGCTCAAACTTTCTTTTTTCCTTAGAGACAGAGTTTCTCCTTGTAGCCCTGGCTGTCCTGGAACTCACAGAGATTCTACTGTTTCTTCCTTCTGAGTGAGTGCTATTATTATTATTATTTTATATTTGTGTATTCTTTTTTTTTTTTAATGCCGAATGCTGTTTATTGAAGGAGGGAAGAGGTCTTAAATACAGGCTTACAGCACAATGTTAGAACCCTGGAGGGCAGAAGTTCGCTACCCATGTTTTACAATCTTGCATTTAAGCTGTTGACGCCCATTATGCAGGATACACAGACAAGGAACTTCCCTTAAGCATTCAGGAGGGTGGAACCCGGCAGAGAATTAGCATAGGGAGGATATCAAGATCAAGGTCAGCAAGCAAGGCAATAGTTACCCAAAATGGGGGCCAGGGACCTACAGGTCCCCCTTTTACTAAAAAATGAGCTTCTGACTTAGGTTGCGTGGGATGTCAGCAGGTCAACTTACCCGTCATGGAGACACTTGCCCAGGCCACACAGGAGCTCTGTCTTAGGTTGGTGAGCGCCCCCCAGGCATTACCTGTCTCTGAATACTCATTATCATACAGGCTCAATTGTGTGTGAGCTGCAGAGTTAACTGCTGCCAAAGATCTCAAAGTGGCTGGGCTTGCAATCTGTGTGTTCGACACAGAAAAGACCAACAGAAGTCCTAATCCACCCATAGCCAGTAGGCTAAAGGCAACTGAGCCATTCCCTTCCTTAATGAGCCTTACTGCAAATTAGAGTCCTTTTAAGATGGTATCCCAAAAGCAAATGGAACTTGAGTTTATAAATTTATAATTTTCAAAGCCAATCGAAATGTATATAACTATTGAATTAAATTTATCATGCCCAATAGAATGAAAGATTAACTAACTGTGGTAGCTATTTTTGCTGCCAGGGTCTCCACTGTGCTAGCTGTAGTAAGCAATTATGAAATGGTAATCCCAGAAACAGTAGCAGTGGTGTCTGCCACTGCTATAGCAGCAACAACGGCAGCAGCAATGTCAAATTCTCTTCTGGAGTGTGTGGACATCCACTGGCATGGACACAACTCCAGGAACACAAACCGCCAAGGCCCATTTTTCTTGATCCCAGCACAACTTAGGCTGGCAGCTCTTCTGGAGCATCCAAAAGCATGGCTACAGTTCCTAGGCTTATGTTAATGCTTGCCAAAGCTGGCCATATTGGGCTCTCAATTCCCATTGGCATCAGAAGGGGAGAGTTTTTCATTAAGGCCCAATAGGTCTCTGTCATGTTGGGTTTCAGCAGCAGCCACAGGGTGCACACAGTGCTCAGGAATCCAAAGAGGAACCTCATTGTCCTGAGGAAAGACATAAACAGAACCCGGGCCCACACCAACACCAGATCGGGTCTCCTCCAAGTGCTAGTAGAAAGATCCTTCCATTGCTCCAGAAGTGCTATTATTAAAAGCCTGTGCTACCACACCAGACCAACTTTAATGTGTGTATGTGATGTGTTTGAGTGCAAGACACATGTGCCACCGAATGCATGTGACAGAGAACTCAGGAGTGGATTCTTCCTACTGTGAGTTCCAGGGACAGAACTGTAGTTTCAGCAAGGACTTTTCCCCTCCAAGCATCTCACTGGTCCAAGATTTCAACTTTAAACAGGTGTCTTCCCAAGGCATGGTCAATCAAAGAGGGCTTCACTTAATTTGCAGGACCCGAGCTTAGTTCTCAGAACCCTTGTGAAAAGGGCTGGGTGGAGTGGCATGTGTTTGTGATTCCACAAGCAGAGGGGCCAATTCTTGGAGTTCACTGGCCAACAAGCCTAGCTTACTTGGCAAGTTCCAGGCCAGTGAGGGAGGGAGGGAAGGAGAGAAGGAGGGAGGGAGGGAGGGACGGAGGGGAGGGTAGATAGTATCTGAGGAATGATGCCCTAAGTTGCCTCTGACTTTCCTACGTGCATGTGTACATGTACTAGCACAAAAAAAAGACTATGGGCCGGGCGGTGGTGGCGCACGCCTTTAATCCCAGCACTTGGGAGGCCGAGCCAGGCGGATCTCTGTGAGTTCGAGGCCAGCCTGGGCTACCAAGTGAGTTCCAGGAAAGGCGCAAAGCTACACAGAGAAACCCTGTCTCGAAAAACCAAAAAAAAAAAAAAAAAAAAAAAGACTATGGTTTGGATACTTGAGGGAAGAGCTCTTCAGGCTTAGGGTGTGTGTGTGTGTATGTCATGTGTATATATGCTGATTTCACAACCCAGATAATAAAAATCTCTCTTCTGTCCTTCCATAGGAGGCCACTGAGAAGCTTCAGGCAGACTTGGGGCAGAGGGCTCTATGGCAGGACAAGGGTGGACATCTGAGGGGTTCTCCATGAGTGGAAACCAGATAGAACACAGGTGGCAGGATCTACAGCACCCTGTGGAGACTCCGCCAATGTGATCCTCAGCACCTGCTTCTTCCCAGGCCTGGGTGATGTGCTTTGTCACCCATTTCAGCCTTGGTGTCAACCAAGCATTATTTCTCGTGGACCCCAAAGGAGGGTGCTAGAGGATGGAAAAGTGAAGCCAGGCTGACTCTTCACTAGATGGACCAGCAGCGCATCCCATGCAGTCTGGGACACCCAGATCAGATCCATGCTTGGCTCATTATTCTGAAATGCTAAGACAAAGGTGGCTGCAGATGTACAAGGGAGCCTGAACTGTGGCTTCTTGCTGGCAGGGTGGAGGAGCCTGGTTCCCAAGGCCCAGGGCTAAGAACATCCCTGGACCTCTAACTCATCCATTGCCATCATACTCTGGCCCCAAGACCCACAGGCTACCTCTTCTTCCAGGGACTCTTTTCCCCCTTCACTGTCAGATGGGTAATGTTGCAATGTCATACCCAGGTTTGTGTGAGTCACATGTTTTCCAAAGGCATGGATACCTAATCATCATGCTTATGAACCAAAAAGGATCCTAGGGACTCCAATGAATCCTTGGTGATGGCAGTTCACCCTGTAGTCACAAATAGGTTCTCTCACACCCTGGCCTCTGCCAAAAGGCAGACTGGCATCCATCAGTGCTCCAGGGGTTATGTACAAAGAAGAAAGATCTCACCCACCATGACAGTTCCAGTTCTGACTGTCGCCACCACATGAAGGAAGAACTCTGAAACACCCTTACCCATCATAACCTCAAAGTTTTATTATCAACAGCTCACATTCACGTTCCTATGAAGTCCAGCTAGTGAAGAGGGAGATGGGAGATGCAGGGGCCTGCTGAGTCACTTGCTGAGATGGTCCTGTAGAACCCACAATGCCTGCTGGGCAAGCAGGGGTCTAAGGGATCCCAGGGCCCACACAAGGGGAGTGACCAATGCACACAGGATCCTCACGCATGCAGAACCACAGAGCACACATGGGATCCCCTAACACATTCAGAGCTACAGGATCTCCGACTGTCTCCATTTTCTGTCGATGTGGGTTTTTCTTGTGCCTGATTCAGTTTCTAACGACCAGTGCTCCTGCAGGAGCATGTCTACCTACCAGGAACTGGAGCACAGTTGTGCTCTGCATTCAGGAAAGGCAAGGCCAGTTGCTATAAAAGCTGCTTCTGCTGTTTGTTCAGGGAAGAGACCATGGCCAAACATGTCAAGCGAGAGGTACACCTCTGCTACTCAGTCAGACACATGTGTGTGTACATGGTGGTGGCGGTGGGATTGAGCATGAGGTGCAGTCACATGTTATGACACACCTAGGCCTGACTCAGACCTAGTGTTCAACTCTGTCATTCCCCACTGGCACAAAGACAAACCCTGAGCTGAGTATGAGGTCAAGTATGGGTAACACACAGATCAGATGATCCTGGTCCTAGGGATGCTGGCTGATTCATGCAGCGTGGCCTTGGAAGGTTCCTGTCTATGCTGGCCCTTGAGGTACAGCATCCTAGCAGTGGGGGCTAACTCTGTAGTGTGAACTCATGGGTGTTAGTCTCCCAGCGAGAGGTGTCTTTGTCCAGCATGCTTCGTTCTGTGAAGGTCACATGGCCATCTGCATCCACAAGGATGATGGTGTTGGTTCTGAAAGAAAGCATCCTTTAGTCCCAGCTCCACCTTTCAGAGCCACAGCTAGGACCAGACCTGAGGCCCATCACACCTAGGGCCTGAGCTAGCTACTCAGCTTTGCCTTCAAGTCAGTTAAATAACAGCCTCAACTTTGAGGACATGAGGGGCTCATGAGGGGCATCTGGGCTCCCTGGCCAGCCTCATAATGGGTGAGTCCTGTTACCTCTGCTCTAAAACACCCCAGCTTGGCCTGACCTTTTTTCATAGCAAGAACCAATTCACTACATCCTTCACAGGGTTGTAGAGCTGACTTCCCACCACCCCACTGCCAGTACACCAGGTCCCCAGACACTTGCCCATATTTGGCTCTCCAAGAGGTTAGGCTCTCAACTACTTGGAGCACATGACCTGTTTATCTAGGAAAATCCTTCTTGTGTCCTTCTTCCTCCACTGGCCCGGGCTAAGTCATCCAGCTCACTTTCTTCTTCCTTTTAGTCCCGCCCTATGGTGGCTTCTCATGTGTGAGCTCCTGCCCTTCAAGTAGGGTGGGTACACATAGGAAAGACCAGCCCACAGCTGCCACTCCAGCATGTAAAGCACAGGCTTTGGAGAATCAGTGCCAGGGCAGCTGTCAGCCAGCATCTGCCAGCAGGAACATTCCAAATGCCTCTCTGGCTCCTTTGAACAGGTGTGGTAGGCAGGAGTCCCACCTAGGACACAATGACAGCTTCAGGAGGCCAGAGCCCTGACCCACCTGACCCCATGGGCACATAAACTATAGGACCTGCTCAACCTGCAGTGAAGTCTGGAGAAGACAGATTCTGAAACGCACTCAATCGGGAGGTGCCTGTCCTCGGCCAGCTGTGTTGGGGGGCCACCCAATGGGAAGGGGATATGCCCAGCAGTCCAACCCTGATCACCTGGTGCCATAGGTGGCGCAGCGCACACACACAGCTGCATACTTGCTCAGAATTGGCTGTACATACTCCCGGCCCTGGTCCTCAATGGCTGGGTCTGGCAGCTGTCTAGAAGGACAGAGGGCCAGAGAGGCTGTTAGTCCCCTTACGGCCTGTGTGTAGACCCTGCATTGAGCCCTGTTTGCCACGCTGGCAGCCTGAGGTTCCCGGGGAGGCTTTGGCCTTAAAAGGCTTGTTTATAACTTTCCTACTTGGCTCCTTCCACTTTGTCAGCATCCCACTGTATCACTTATGACTCCATCACTAAGCTGAGGCATTGAGATGGCACATGCACTCTACTGTCTCTCAGCAGTACCCTGTGGGCATCAGTCCATAGACAAGAGCCTCCTTAAACCCTGAGACTCACCAACCAGTGTGCACCACGGCTATAGTTACCGCTAAGAACAGCCAGAGCCACAACTGGCCGACTCAAATGATTGAGGACCGTGTGGACACATGGCTGAGTGAAACCCAGCACTGCCCCACAAAAGAGCAGCTGATGCTGAGGCTGGAGACTGATGCTATGGTTCTGGGCAGAAAGTGGCCAAGCTTACAGGAGAATGGAAAGATGCATGGGTCTGTGAAGGAACAAATGCCAGGACTTTTGGCTGGGATGGCAGAGGCCCAAGTGCCCAGAGTCTAAGGGTGCTCCATGAAGAGGTCCATGGGCACAGAAGAGAGTGTGTGGGGGTCCGTTCCTTCCAGGGACAGATGTGTCTACACCTAATGCTTAGCTCCAAGGAGGCAGGATGTAGCAAACAATGTCAAGCTCTAGGCCGGCTGTCTAGCTTCTGGCTTCTCTGGCTCTTCTCCCTAAGGTTTGCTGAGTAGCTAGAACCTTCTAGAATATCACACTAGCCCTCTTTGTGTAGAGGGAGACCAGACCTCAGAGAACACCAAGTCCTCCAGAGCACGGGCCCCTAGCTTCACCGTCTCTCATTATCCAGGGCCCCACTGGAAACCCAGACTGCATCCTAAGAGGAATAGGTTTGAGTCTTAAGGAAGCAGAGGATAACAGATCAGGCAGGCTCTCCTGCAGCTGGGAAGCCACCCTGCTCATCTTCGCAGGCCTTCTAGGTAGCAAATTCTGCCTTCCTTCCTGCCCTAGACCTGTGTGGCTGCCCCAGGGGGACTTGCTCACTTACGCCTCCTCATTGTTGAGTACATCTAGGAGATGGGAGACAAGGGCGTCCTTAGGGAGGGCCTCGCTCTGCTCCACCACTTCCATGAAGAGTTGTTTGCCGAAGCACAGCTTCCTCCAGGGCGTCTCCAGCAGGGCATTGCTTAGCCCATAGGTTCCTGCAGGAAGAAGGTCAGCCTCGCCATGTGGAGGCCCCAGGTGTCTGGGACAGTTGGCTTACAGTCAAGTATCCTGACAAGCCACCAGTGGAAGCTGAATCTGACTGGGTCCCACTGAGGCCCTGGAAGATCACTCTGGCTCTACTGGAGCCCCCAAGGCCAAGCTGTCAGCTCTAATGTCACTGATTCTTCTTTCTGAAGTAGCTTGAAGACCATTCTATAATGGTGTTGGGTGACTGGGTAGTCACAAAGATTGGAGTTGGACCTGACCTCACATCCTATGCAAAAATAACTCAAGGCCAGCAAGATGGCTCCGTGGGTAAAGGCACCTGCCATCAAGCCTGAGGACCTGAGTTCAAGCTCGGGATCTACGTGATGGAAGCAGAGAACTACAGCTGCTGACTTGTCCTCCGACCTCCACATGTGAGCTGAGGAATGGCCATGCAGGCAGGTACGTACACACACACACACACACACACACACACGCACGCACGCACGCACGCACGCACGCACGGCACGCACAACAAATACATGTTTGAGGCAAATTTGTTTACATGAGACTCACATCTCCAAAAACCAAACCAAAAAAAAAAAAAAAAAAAAAAGAGCAGCTTTAGGATCAAGTGTGGTGGCATGTATCTATAATTCTAGAACTCAGGAGGCTGAGGCAGGATTGTGGCAGGTTTGAGGCCAGCCTACATAGCAAGGTTCGGGCCAGCCTTGGTTAGAGTAAGATTGTGTCCCAAAGTGAGGATGTATGCACGCACACACACATATACACACACACACACACACAAAGTAAATACATTTAAAAAAAAAAAAGCTTCAAGCCGGGCGGTGGTGGCGCACGCCTTTAATCCCAGCACTCGGGAGGCAGAGCCAGGCGGATCTCTGTGAGTTCGAGGCCAGCCTGGGCTACCAAGTGAGTTCCAGGAAAGGCGCAAAGCTACACAGAGAAACCCTGTCTCGAAAAACCAAAAAAAAAAAAAAAAAAGCTTCATGATCTGAGATTAAGCAATGATTTATTAGGTAAGACAATAAAAGCATAAGCAATAGCAAGATAAATGATACTTCATGTAAATTTAAAGTTATGCATTTCGAAAAAAAGTGCCAAAGAAGTTCAGTAAAACAGAAAATGAGAAAGGGTTTTTGTGAGTTGGATATCTGATGAGATTTGTAGATTATGTAGAAAGAACAAAAATTTTAAATGGATAGACCACACATGTATCCCAACGTTCAGTCGGTGGCAGTGGGAAGACCAGGAGTTTAACGCCATCCTTGGATATATACTGAGCTGGAGTCTGGCTAGCCTGGGATCATGAGTCCCCACCACACCCCTAACCCCTCACCCCTGCCGAAAAAAAGAAAAGAGGTGGCAGGTAATAATGTCAAAGACAGAGAGAGCTTATAGGACCGTGTGTGTGTGCGTGTGTGTGCGTGTGTGTGTCTATGTGTGTTTGTGTCTATGTGTGTGTGTGTGTGTGTGTGTGTATCTGTGTGTGTGTGTGTGTGTGTGTGCGTGCGTGCACATGCACATGAGGGGGAGGGAAAGAGAGGAGAGGGAGAGGGGGAGAGAGAGTCAGCTCAGAGTGGAGGCAGGCAACTGGTAGACGAGGCTTCCCAGAAATCACAGCACTCAAGGAAGAAAGGGACAGCA